AGAGAGAGAGAGAGATATTAATGGGTATCCTTGTCATAGGAGGGGATTTCCTCCTTGACGCCTCTAAAATCACATGATTGAGCGACATTGTGGATGATCCGCTCCGTTGAACTTGATCTACATATTCTAAAACCCCAACACACCAAGTTTGGGGTAAATCCGTCGTCGTTTTACCCTCCATCGAGCCATGTGAAAAGTTCTATTCATTCAAAACCGTTAAAATTGATACGAGTGGATGAAGGGTCAAACGACGACGGGTTCACCCCAAACTTGGTGTGTTGGGGTTTTAGAATATGTAGATCAAGTTCATCGGAACGGATCATCCATAATGTCGCTCAATCATGTGATTTTAGAGGCGTCAAGGAGGAAATCCCCTCCTATGACAAGGATACCCATTAATCTCTCTCTATATATATATATACAGCAGATGATTTAAACAGAAGCATGAACGAAACAGAAAGAAAATACTGCGATGAGTCGACTCGTGCTCAATATGAGTCGACTCAGCAGAACCCAAATAATAGCAGGAAAGGACTTCATGAGTCGACTCATGACAGTCATGGGTCGACTCATGACTTATGGGTCGACTCGTATACTGACGAGTCGACTCAGCAGAAACAAAAAGACAACACAACTAGACATCGTGAGTCTACTCATGACAGTCATGGGTCGACTCAACCTGTTGAGTCGACTCATGATGAGCCGTGGGTCGACTCACGGGCTGAACAAAGCATTTCTCCCAACTGTAACTTGTTCAACACGATCCACACTTCCAATTTTCTGATCTACACTTCTATAGCCATCGATTCTCGACTATGATATAGTGAGAAAAACATATTTATCATGAGAAACGATTTTTTGGTAGGTTAAAATCTAACATTTAACTCCTATACATGAAAGAAAGCATTTAATCAAAATAAAACTCACATTTTTATTCTTTAAATAAAATTCCAGATCTGGGTTTTCATGAAAAACTTGTTAGTGGGGATTTAAAATCCGAAATACATGATCTCTAGCATTAACCCTAACAAAGATGTTGATTTATACTTGAAAATAAGTCTTAGGCTCAATAAAACTTATGGAAAACAGTTGTAAACAATTAGAAACATGGGAGAAGGGTTGGGCGAGATGTTACTCGCCTCAAAAGTGATGATGAACAATCCCCTTCGCTGCAATCCACGAAAAGCCGCTGAAAATCCCCAAAAATCGCCCAAGAAATCCCAAAAACGAGCTAGGGTTTAGAGGGGGAGAAGAGGCTAGGGTTTCTCTAGGGTTTTCTGATGAACAAGAGTGTTTTCGGGTGGGGAGAAACATATATGAGTAGAAAACCCGACTCGAAACCCAAACAAACCCGACTCAGAAAACCAGAAAAACCCCGATGAGTCGACTCATGGCAGTCGTGGGTCGACTCATGACTCATGGGTCGACTCATGATATAATGAGTCGACTCAGCAGAGACTAAATAACAACAGGACTCGATTTCGTGAGTCGACTCATGACAGTCATGGGTCGACTCATGGACTAGAAACTGCATACTATGACTCTGCTGCATATGATTTGAAATCTTGCACACTCAACCTCATTACTGATGTACATATACATACTCAAAATCTACGGGGTCTTACATTCTTCCCCCCTTAAAAGAATTTCGTCCTCGAAATTCAGGAAATCACATCTAATTCATAAAGATACTTGAAAAACATGACAAGGGTCTAATCTAACCCGCACACATATACATTTTGCAATAATGAATGCTAGTTAGCACATAGCGATATTCATACTTAACGATCTAAAATGATAATATTCTTACTTAACCCCAAATCTAACGGAACTAGTACGTCGGGCGAAAAATCCAAATAAGGAACCCCCCATGTATATACCATGTGTTCCGTAAGATTAAGAATTAAGTAAAAATACCCTCATTCTAGTGTTAAATATAAGTATCAAAATATATATGTAGATATAAATATTCAAGTAAGAAGTCATATCATAAATACTTTAATTAGTTTTACCTGCTCGAACAAATGTGGGTAGTCGCGTCGCATGTCCTCCTCGCGCTCCCAAGAAGCTTCCTCAACTCCACTTCTGTTCCATTGAACTTTCACCAATGGAATCACCTTGTTCCTGAGTCTCTTGACTTCTCTAGCAAGTATGGACACTGGGATCTCAATAGTCGATAAATCATCCTGAAGCTCAATCTCCGGTGCATCCAACACTCGCTGCTGCTCCTCATCATGCAAGTGCTTCTTGAGCATAAAAATATGGAATACATTGTGTATACTAGACATAGAAGCTGGAAGATCTAGTCTGTATGACACAGCTCCAATGCGCTCCAAAATCCGGAATGGTCCAATGTATCTCGGTGCAAGTTTCCCTCGCCTCCCGAATCGCTGTACGCCTTTCATAGGCGATACCTTCAGCATAACCAAATCCCCAATCTGAAACTCTAGGGGTCTTCGCCTCTTATCTGCATAACTCTTCTGCCGACTCTGAGCGGCTAGAATCCGCTCCCTGATCAACGCTACCTTCTCGATAGTTTGCCTCACAAGTTCTGGTCCAAGCATCAAACTATCCTCAGGCTCTGCCCAACATATCGGTGATCTACATGGTCTCCCGTACAGTGCCTCATACGGAGCCATACCGATAGTCGCTTGATAACTATTGTTATAAGCGAACTCTATCAGTGGGATATGATCCTCCCAGCTGCCTTGGAAATCAATGACACATGCTCGCAACATGTCCTCCAATGCTTGGTTCACCCTCTCCGTCTGACCATCTGTCTGTGGGTGGAATACACTGCTATAAGATAGCTTGCTGCCAAATGAATCCTGAAAACTCCTCCAAAAATGCGAAGTGAAAACCGATCCTCGATCCGACACGATCGTATCCGGAACTCCGTGAAGTCGAACTATCTCCCGAATGAAAATCCTCGCATACGCCTCAGCTGTATAAGTAGTCCTTACTGGGATAAAATGTGCTGACTTCGTCAACCGGTCCACAATGACCCAAACTGAATCATTCCACTTCTTCGACTTGGACAACCCTACAATAAAGTCCATAGAAATGTCCGCCCACTTCCATTCTGGGATAGGCAACGGCTGAAGTGTGCCTGCTGGTCTCTGGTGCTCCGCCTTTACCTGCTGGCAGGTAAAACACTTCGCCACATACTCTGAAATCTCCCTGCGCATACCACTCCACCAAAAGTGCCTCTTCAGGTCCTGAGTACGGTGTGCCTCATCAAATAACTCTCTCTTCAGCTCTGCACTGGCTGGCATAACCAATCTACCCTTCATCCGTAGACCTCCATCTGCTCCAATGGTCCAATCGGCCTTAGGCTCTTTGGAAATCTCCTCCTTACGGATTTGAATCCAAGAATCCTCCAACTGAGCTCTAACAACTCTGCCGCTCCAAGTTGGTTCCACTGATATAGCTCCCAAAAATACACTAGTGCCACCAAACCCAGGTCTAAAATCAAACTGGCTAAGAGCGAGAAGGTCTCGGTGCAATGAGCACCTCAAAGCCGCAATCCGATGTTGACGCTTCCTACTCAAAGCATCTGCTACGACGTTCGCCTTCCCCGGGTGATACTGAATCGCAAACTCGTAGTCCTTGATAAACTCAATCCACCTCCGCTGCCTCTGGTTGAGTTCCTTTTGAGAGAAAAGATATTTCAGACTCTGGTGGTCTATGAATAACTCAAACTGCACTCCATACAAGTAGTGCCTCCATGACTTTAGTGCAAATACCACTGCTGCTAGCTCCAAGTCATGAGTGGGATAGTTCTGCTCATGCACTCTCAACTGCCGTGAGATATAAGCTACTACTCTCTGAGTCTGCATAAGGATGCCTCCTAATCCTGCCAATGATGCATCTGTGTAGACGACGAATGTCCTGTCGTTTCTCGGGATAGTCAAAACTGGTGATGAGGTCAACTTAGTCTTCAAGATATCAAAGGCCTTCTGGCATTCTGTGGTCCAAATAAACTGTACACCCTTCTTCGTAAGGCGTGTAAGTGGCGTCAAAATCTTCGAGAAGTCCTGGATGAACTTCCTGTAGTAGCCTGCTAATCCCAAAAAGCTGCGAATATCTGTCACTGTCTTTGGCGGCTCCCAATCAAGCACTGCTGTAACCTTAGCTGGGTCTACTGATATGCCCTCTTTGCTGATGATGTGGCCGAGAAATCTCACTTCTGAAAGCCAAAACTCACACTTGCTGAACTTGGCGTATAGCTGGTGCTCCCGTACGGTCTGCAAAGCTAAACGGAGGTGCTGCTCATGATCTGCCTCCGATCTCGAATAAATGAGGATGTCGTCGATGAAAACAATCACGAACTGATCTAAGAATGGAAGAAAAACCCGGTTCATCAAGTCCATGAAGACCGCGGGTGCATTGGTCAACCCAAATGGCATGACCAAGAACTCGAAAAATCCATAGCGCGTGAGGAAAGCGGTCTTGGGGATATCCATCTCCCGAACCCGTAACTGATGATAGCCAGAACGAAGATTAATCTTCGAGAAAAATCACGCTCCCTGCAACTGGTCGAACAAGTCATCAATCCTAGGCAGTTGGTACCTATTCCGGATAGTGACCTTGTTCAACTCCCGATAATCTATACATAATCTCATACTGCCGTCCTTTTTCTTCACGAAGAGGACTGGCGTGCCCCACGGAGAATGACTCCAACGAATAAAACCCTGAGCTAAAAACTCGTCCAATTGGGTCTGAAGCTCTCTCATCTCAGCTGGCGCCATGCGATAGGGTGCGCGGGATATCGGGGCTGTGCCAGACTGCAACTCAATACAAAACTCAACCTCTCTCACAGGAGGTAACCCAGGTATGTCCTGAAAGACATCCTGATAATCCGAGACAACTCGAGTCTCTAACAAATCAGAACTCTGATCCCGCAGCATAACCTCGTCGATGAACGCCAGAAATGACTTCGCAAAGCGATTGCCCTGAGAAGTGGCCACAATCATCTCGGACCCATCGGACGCTCGCAATTTGACTGTCTTCGTAAAACAGTCAATACTAATATGGTAGGACGATAACCAATCCATACCAAGAATGACATCAAACTCGGACATATGCAAAACTATCAGATCGACTATGAACTCCGACTCGTCTAAACTGATGGTACACCTCCTACAAACGCTCTCCAGAAGCGATACCTCACCTAAAGGGGTGGAGACTGATAAAGGGGTGTCTAGGGGATGAGCTACGAGCTGGAGTCTAGTCATAAATACATGCGAGATGAAAGAATGCGAAGCTGAGAATATGGGACAATCTGCCCCTGGGGAGCCTCCTGGACTGCTCGAACCTGTCCCTCTGCCCTCTGCGTCGCTGGCGGTGTCTCAAGCCTGGGCTGCTGACCCTGACCTCTGCCTTGCTGTCTCTGCTGCTGGTGATTCGGGCCCCTGCCCTGCTGAGCTCCTGCTGGTGCACTACGACACTCTGATGCCTTGTGCCCGACCTTGTGGCAGTTAAAACAAGATCCCTGGAACTTGCGCTGTTGATGCGCTCTCTGATCCTGATGGGGTCCCTTCTTATAAGGGCCCTGCTGCTGCTGATGCTAATGCCCTGTCAAAGGTCTCTTGTTCTTACCCTTATCCCCGCTCTACCCTGCCTTGGTCTTCCCTTCCTTATCCTTCAGGAACATAGTTGTAGAACCCCGTAAATTTATTAATGAATATATTGAGTTATTAGTGGTAAGCATTTCTTTTGCGATGAATAACCATATATATGTTAAATAAATGTGATAAATAGTGTTTGGGAGCCTAGCAAGAATTTCTATGTTAGAGAAATCAAGGGGATTGGTCAGCATGTGATGGTCAAACAGACATAGCAGGCAGTTGTCCTGCTGTGCGGTCGACCGCGACATGCGCGGCGGTCGACCGCACAGCAGTCGGGCACTCAGGAGACTTTTCTCCTGTTGTGCGGTCGACCGTGCTGGGCACGGCGGTCGACCGCACAGCAGGCAGAGAGTTTTTCTGTGTTGGGTCTTAATGGGTTTCGGGTCGGGTTCGGGTCGGGTTGTGGGGATAGTATATATACTATTACACCCAAGAGAGCCCCATTTCTAATCTGAAATCAGAACCCTAGCCCCCTCTCTCCCCTCAAACCCTAGTTTCTCACTCTTTGGTGATTTGGAGGAGCTTTGGAGGGTTTTTCAGCGGATTTTTGGTGGATTCAGCGAGAGGGATCATCTTCCTCCAGATCTAGGGCTTCATTTTCGTCGTAGGCGAGTAACATCTCGCCCAACTTTGTCCCTTTTCGTTTTTATGCTTAGATTTGTGTTTTCATCCGGTTTTATTGAGCCCAAATCGTATTTTTTGTAGATAAAGTAGATCTTATGGCTTGAGGTGCAAGAATCATATTTTTCAGTAATAAAATTTCACTAATGATGTTTAATTAATGGGATTTTGATCTGAAACGCTTTTATGAGAGTTAAACCCATTTTTATTGTTTAAAAACTTTTAAAACCATGTTGATTAAGGTTTGGGATTTTTTTGATAATGAGGTTCTAACCATTTAAACTGGTTGTGCATTGCCCTAGTTCACTGTTAAAAGGTAATAGTATAACGGGTATAGAAAACCCAAGTTTTTGTATATGAGTTCGGTAGCTGACAGAACCCAGAATGGGGTTCTGTCCGCCCAGCGGTCGACCGCAGAGGACTCAGCGGTCGACCGTCGCGTTTTTCTGCCAGCAGAATTGTTTCTGCACTTTGGGCGGTCGACCGGCATGACCTCTGCGGTCGACCGCCGCTCAGCTTCTGAACCCAGTGGTTCCAGGCCTGCGAGCCGGTCGACGAGTAGGGCTCTGGCGGGTCGACCGCCGGCAACAGTTTTCTGCTTTATTTGTTCTCTGTTGTAGTCGTATCATCTCGATCGAGTGCTTACTTCAATCATCTCTTGACTTTTGATCTTTAGTTGTACTAAGCACCTATGGCCTGAATAGACGGCACCGAAAATACATGCCTAGATTCACATGACGAGTTGAGTGCGAGTTTTTGGCATAAGTAAAACCATACCTCGCCATATCAACTAATGCCTGTTCAGTTACACAGTCCTCGTGTTGGACTAATAATCCATAGAAGTCCTTGTGTTGGACTATAATCCATTTCAGTCCTCGTGTTGGACAATTATCCATTTTTATCTCATGAGTGGCGAATCTCTAATATTTAAATACATGTAATTGCGACAGTCTTTTTAACCCTGCATGTGACAATTCACAGGAGTTATGACAATGATCACTTATGAAGAATAAGACAAACCACATATATTGAGAATTAATGATATGACTCCTCATGTTGAATACGACATGGTATTCATAGTTGGGACGTTTCATAATACAGTATATATATATGTCCCTGAGATGGGTTGTTATTGCCTTTTTACTTATTTCTGTGCATGTGTTATACTCGGCGTTTGCTACTTAGGCGATTTTCAATTTGGGATATAAGGTATAACATGAGGTTGCCTTGTTTGATTATTTCGCTCGACGTACGCTATGGCCCGACATTGTTGGAACTTCCTAAGTACTAAAGCCCATTGTTTCATTTCTTCTGGATAATTGCTTATAGTATATGTTTTGTGTATAACGTATTTTCTTATACACGCCCTCTCCCTTGGGTTGGCTTAGTGATGTTGCTCGCTAGCGGCTTTGACGCTCGGTTGTCCGCCGTCCCCCTTTCAGCGGTCACAGAGCCAGGCAGCCCGCCGAGAGTCGCCAGCTGTTGATTTGCGGCCGACACACTTTAGTATTCGACTATCTATTCTGCTATGTTTTATTTTGGAGCTCCACTATAGACTTTGTTTAGACGGTTGAGGACTTTATTTCTAGATGTTGTAAAGGCTGTGTGCCTTATTTCCTTTACTCAGACTTGTTGTATTTGGGATGTATTAAGAACTCCAGTTTGTTCATTTCAGACATTGACTTTATATTCCTGTATGTTGGATGATGAAATTCTATTTTTACCTCTATCATTTCTATCAGTTATCTCTTGTAGTATTTTTCACTTGCTTTGTACCTACACCTGTTATTGACTCACTAGAGTGATAGAATTGTGATGGTGAAACATGTTATTGCACGGTGTGGTGCCTTACCCTTATCCCCGCTCTGTCCTGCCTTGGTCTTCCCTTCCTTGTCCTTCAGGAACATAGTAGTCTCAATCTCCTGTGAGGTGGCGGCCTCAGCTACCTCCCTAACGGAATAGAACCTCCTCGAGACGAGGTACCGGCGGAGATTAGGGCGTAGCCCTGCTAAAAACATCTGAGCTTGACGCTCTCCTGTCTGCCACATACCCGTGAAATGCAGCAACTCCATAAACCGGCTCTCATAATCTGCCACTGTCATGTCCCCCTGAGTCATCCGGGACAACTCAAGATCCTTTCCAGTCCAGGCTGCAGAAGAAATATACTGCCCATCAAAAAAGTAGATAAAATCCTCCCATGTGAGGGTCATCCTCTGCTCTGGGGTAAAATGTAATCGGTACCATCTCCCGGCATCTCCCTTCAGACTGTAGGATGCTAACCTCTGCTTCTAAACCGAATCTACACTGAGTATGTCAAGTATATTGCTCACATCCTCCTTCCACTTGTGTGCTGCAAGAGGGTCTGGTGACCCCTGGAACTCGGGTGCCCTCATCTTCTGATACCTCTCTACTATACGGAGCCAAGCTTCCTGGCCCGTGGCTCTATCTGGTACCGCTAGTGGAATAGCTACAGGTGCTACCTCTGGGTCTCTCTCTCTGATCAGGACGGCTGGTATCCCCTGCTGCTGAGCTACCAGTGGTGGTGGAGTCCGTGGTGCTATATGAGTAGTTACCAACTCCTCAATGGCTGTCATCCTGGCAATAAGAGGAGCCATGATATCCACCAAATACTGAGGAGCCTGCTGCGGCTCTGGTGGTGCCTGCTCCTGCTCAAGTGGAGCCTACTGCGGCTCAGGTGGGGCCTGCTGGGGCTCTGCCTGAGCGGCCCTTCGAGTGCGGGGTCTCCCACGTCCTGCCATCTCTCTGGTCATAAGAAAAATAAGGTTCATGAGTCAGAGTAGACGTACATACATAGTTCATCACAATATGATTTTTACATCACATAATTTTCACACATGTACTTTAAGCAAAAATAGTTGTCATAAAAAAAATTTCTCAAAATTTTGAGATATACGCATATATCGTCCTCACTCATACTAGGAAATCCTTAGCGGACTCTACACATGAATCCTAAGAAACTCTAACCTAGCTCCACGACTCGACACAGGATGATCCTAAGGAAACTAGAACTAGAGCTCTGATACGAACTGTGACGCCCCTGGGTTCACACAAGGCTACAGTCC